TCCTTGATCCCTGTAGCAATAGATTCTCTGCTGTCTTCTATGCTTTTTTTCAAGCCCAGTGATTAATCTTACGACTTTTATTCTAAATTCTTGTTTAGTTATATTGTTTATATCTGCTTTGATAAATTCTCTAGCTGTCCTTTCTTCCTGGAATTTCTTCCGAGGAGAATTCTTCTGTTTCATCATTTTGGCTAGATTTCTGTCCCTTATGTGTTTTAAAGCTTGTTATGTGCCTTGTACCTGTGAGGGGTCATACACTGTCCAGGGCCTGGCCCTTCAGGAGGTATTTTTTGGAGAATGTTGCTTGCTCTCTGTTGTTGTTACTTTATCTCCCTACTTGTAGTGATGTTTTGGACCCTCTACCAGGTGTGCTTTGATTTGTTCATTGAAGTAGTCCTGGAAAGGAAAACAAACAAATTTTGAAAAGACCCAGAAGACCAAAATGAGCAAACACACAAACAAAAAAAGCAAAAACAAAAAATCAGAAAAACCAGCTACAAGCAAACAACAATGTGGAGGTGGTGCTGATGGAAGCGGCCTTATGCTGTACAAATAGAGAAAAGACAGGGGTGGGGAAAAATAAAGCAAAATAAAAATTGACCAGACAGAGAAACTACATAGCTTAATCCAGAGAGAGAGAAAGGAAAATAAAGGAGGAGGTGGGGAGAAAAAGAAAAGAAAAGAAAATTGACCGGACAGAGAACCTATACAGCTTAATCCAGAGAGAGAGAGAGAGAGAGAGAGAGAGAGAAAGGAAAATAAAGAAGGAGGTGTAGAACATATATCTACAGAATGGATTAAATATGTCTGCTTAAACAAACCAATAACCAGAGTAACCAGACTAAAGGAGGGAAAAGATAAGAAGGAGAAAAGGAAAGAAGATTAAATCTAAATAATAAGAATTGTCCGAGAATTAAATCAGGCAGTGCAACAGTGCTGGCCTGAACAAGGGGGCCATCTGGTTCTCAGCCTCTGTCCTACTCTAGTAGATCCGCATTTACCCTGCGCAGAGGGGCGTGATTTGGTGTAGGCAGTTCCCGCTTCCACCGTGGGACCTGCTGTCCGATCTCTGAGTGCCCCCTTGGTGGTGGTGGGGAGAAAAATGGCAACACCCCAGTGTCTCCTCCACGGACTGGATGTCCTGAACCACTCTATTAGAGCCGCCCTCACTGTGCCACGGGCGCTAACGAGGCGGTTCATCCTGCTCTGCCAACTCCCGCGCTTCCTTATGCTCGGCTGGGACTTAAACCCTGGGGTCTTTAAGGTTCCCACTCTGTCCGCTCTGGTTTTGGGGAAGTGCCACCCCTTTGAGTGGATACATACCTTCTTCCCACAGCACTCCAGGAAGGCGATTGTTCTCTCCCACTGTGGACTGCGACTCTGAACTAGTTACCGAGCCCGTACCGACCCCAGGGCTGGCTCTCCTCCCCAGATGCACCAACAGGGCAGCCAGCCCCAGTCTGGAGAAAGAATCACAGTTAGAGACGGGGCCTTTCTCCCTCCTGGTGCATGGTTTTCTCTTGTCAAGATACAGTCCTACACTTCCACAGCCTCTGTTTCTCTTCCATTTGTCCCTCCACAGAACGAGATCCCTCCCCTCTTCCCATTTTCTCTCTCCCAGTTTGCAGTCATTTGTCTGTGGCCCATCAGGTTGTCTGGGTGGGTCCCTGGAAGCGTCTCTGTCTCTTTGCTGCCTAGACTCTTGGAGTTCAGAGTCCTTTGGCCTCAACAGTGTTGTGTTTGAGAGAGAAGGGAACTTTGGATCCCGCTACTTCTCCACCATGTGGGCCACTCCCCTTAAATATCTTGATTTAAACTCTGAGTCATTCTGTGGTAACAAACCATGAATTGCAATATCTTATACTAAACTCTTACTTATCAGACTGTCCATTAAAACATTACATGATGAATGGACTCCCTCAGCATTATTCCCTCGCTTTACACTTGGCCCATCACTTGTAGAACTGGGGTGCATCCTGTTCACCGTTTCCGTGAGGGTCCCACCTCACAAGAAACAAGCATCTCTAATGGCATGTCATCACCTCTGTCAATGAAGATACCGTGAACTGGGCAAAAATGTTTGAGTCTCCACACTAAGGGGAAGTGAAACTTGAAAATAAATTCAAATCAGTTAGAGAACAGACAGAGAAATCGGGAAGTTCATGACGTAGAGGGCATAACATTTTTGAGATATACTACAGTCCGTCCATTGATTGAAGAAATGGTATTTTCACACATTCCCTAACTCATGAAAAGTATTAGATGAATTTCTACTGAAGTGCACTTGTACAGCTGTACTAATTGGTTCAGTAGCAACAGGATTTATGGTTTTTGAGAGAGGTCAGCTCTTCAGAGTGCCTTGTGATCTAGACCAAAGATCAGGGTTCTAATTAGCAACGTGTGAATACAGCAGAGCCTGGTTATCAATGCCTGCTACCACGGGAGGCACCAAGGAGTGTTTGTTGCAAAGGTAAGCATTTGGCTGCCGTGTGGGTGGGTCTTGGAAACCCACCCTAAGTGGGCTAAGTGAAGAAGCCGTCACAAAAGGCCACATAATGTGTGCTACCATTTATATGAAATGTTCAGAACAGGCACATCCGTAGAGATAGAAGGTAGACTGGTGGTTGTGCTTGCTCAAAGCACTGGGGGACAATGGAGAGTGACTGCTCACTGGTATAGGGTTTCCTTGGGGCATAATGATCGTGTGCTAAAATGGATTGTGGTTTTGGTTGTACCTCTCGGACTACACCCCAAACTGTTACACTGCATACTTTAAATGGATGAATAGTGTGGTGTGTCAATTATATTCCAATAGAGCTGTTAAAAAAAACAACAAAACTCGGCATGTGAGGTCACTCGCCTAACCGCAGCGGTGGTGGGATTTGACAGAAGCAGCTTCAGAGAGTATCACAGAGGTGCTATAGTCAGAAGATGCTTCCACCTTATTTCCGAAGCTTATCATTCTTCAGCGTCCCTTTTAGGGATTAGTCTAAAGGTCAGTGATTCAGTGGTTTTATTAGACGATTTCTGCTCATGTTTAGAGACTTCCCATTTTTCCGTTTCTTACTGGATGGGCCTGTGTTCCCACCGGGATCATTGCCAGTTTGGTAAATGTGTGGCCGCGATGCAGTTCTGCTGCCCTAAGGACAGCCACGTGCACACCAGGAGATCTGCCACAGTTTTCCACGTGTCTGTTTTAAGTCCCATTCAGTCATATGAATTGCTACGCTCACAAGAATTAAGGTTCTTTTCAGTATGCATTTTCATACAATGGCCCGTCAGGGCCTCTAGAATATCCTTGAGTTGGGCAAGTCGTAGAATTTTGCTACGACTTCTGGAATCTTTCTTGTTGAAGGATTTCCTGTAGCCATCCTGCAGGCCGCGGCTCTCCCCCAGTAGGTAGGCTGTTGGAGAGGTTCTCCCTGCAGGTGCACCGAACACACAGGGTACTGGTGTTAAGTCAGCTTGCTCACTGACAGTGGGACCAGCTTTCAGCCATAGCCAGAGGCACCTGCTGTCCCTCAGCTATCGTGGGGGCCCCCATATTGGCCAGAGGAGGTGACAGCAGTATAGCAGTGACCCCTGTGGTGGTGAGAGCCGCTGTCCCTACTGCTGTCAGCCGGTTTGCCTCAGGGCCTTCCCCTTTTAGTCTGTCCCCTGGGGCTCCTTGGTGCTGCCTAGAACACCAAGGAAAAAGGATGAGATAATCCTCGGGACTCCGGCAGTTACTTAATTATTCAAAAACATTTTATTGATTCCCTTCTCTTCCATTCACAACCCCCCAGCTGAGGGCGTCGTCCTAGTTCCTGGAAGAGGTTAAAGTGCATGAAGATAGACAAGCCTGTAAATTAACAAAGAAAAGAGAAAATAACCTATGAGTCTTTGGTTGGTATGTGTAAGGAAGGAATTGCCTGTTTGGAGAGCAGGGTAAGAGCAGGAATTGCCTGTTTGGAGGTGGGCTTGTGTCGTGCCTCTGATTGGACAGGTGGTCTAATCCAGCTGTGGTGTCAGATGCCTCGGGTGGAGTCTTCGCTGGGGAGGACGGGGTGGAGCGAGGCTTCAGCGGATTTTAAATGCCAGGAGTACTTACAAGACACTGGTCTGCTGCTCATAGTGTTATTGAACACCTACTAAGGGCTGGGCGCTGCTAGGTGCTCAGCTTCACGATAGCTCTGAAAGGTGATTTAGGTATTGCTATTTTACAGATGAAGAAACTGAGTCAGGCCAAGTGCTCTGCCCCAGGTCATAGAGCTAGTAAATGCTAAATTGAATCATCCTGTGTTCCCAGCTACTATGCTAGGCTTTCCTTCACCCCGGAGAGACAAGACTTTTTTTTTAATGTTTATTTTATTTTTGAGAGAGCCTGAGTATGAGCAGCGGAGGGGCAGAGAGAGAGGGAGACACAGGATCCAAAGCAGGCTCCAGGCTCTGAGCTGTCAGCACAGAGCCCGATGTGGGGCTCGAACTCACGAACCGTGAGATCGTGACCTGAGCCGAAGTTGGTGCTTAACCCGGTAAGCCACCCGGGTGCCTGGAGAGACAGAACTCTTGCATGAAGTAGGATGGCAGTGTGGCAGTAACTATTAGTTGAGTCATATGGAAGTGCCATTGTGTAGATTGAAATGGTCAGTACTAGCAATGTCCTATGGTTCCATCCAGCATATCGGGCTCAGAGGAATGAGCAATCTCTTCGACAGCAATGGTCAGCAGAGGTTTCATGGAGGAGTTGGGACCCAAACAAGGCCTTGACGTAGCCTCGGGATGGATAGAAACGAGAGTGAAACGCGGGAGAGATGGACATATGGAGGCCAGCCTGACAGGCTGGCTGGTGACTTGGGGACATCTATCAGCAGATACTTAACATAGGTCTAGGGATCCCAGAGGTGATGCGGTCCATCCTTGGACCCTAAGGAGACAATTTTAGGTTTGACTCATGGCTTTCTGGGTGAGTTTGGATGTTAGTCCTGCTAATCTTGTCCCTGCGCACGTTCTCTCCACAGGAAACAGGTGAGCAGATTGCTATCAAGCAGTGCCGGCAGGAGCTCAGCCCCAGGAATCGAGAACGCTGGTGCCTGGAGATCCAGATCATGAGACGGTGAGGGCTGGTGCTCCAAGCCAAGATAGGGCTGTCATTGTAGGGGGACCAGGAGACCGCAGGAGCCGAGGGGCCCTAGGGCATCGAAGAGACATCAGGAGGGAGCCCTCCGGAGCAAGACCCCCACCAGCTGCATCTGGAAAAGAGAGTCCTAAACCTTAGTCCCTCAATCAGGATAACAGATAGATGACTTCTAGGGGAGTGGCTGTTAGTGTCCAACACTGGACCTTTCCAAGGGCTTTCGTCATTTTATTTTTATTTTTTAGTGTTTATTCATTTTGGAGAGAGAGAGAGCGAGCACAAGCTGGGGAGGGGCAGAGAGAGGGAGGGAGGGAGACAGAGAATGTGAAGCAGGCTCCAGGCTCGGAGTTGTCAGCACAGAGCCCGACGCTGGGCTCGAGCTCACAAACCGCAGGATCGTGACCTGAGCTGAAGTCGGATGCTTAAGCGACTGAGCCACCCGGGCGCCCCTGGTCAGTTTTATTTGTTATATTAAGTAATTTAAAATAGCAAGGGCAGTGAATTTTCCTTTGTCAGCAAAGATGCTTTTTCCCTTCTTATATTTCCAATCCCAAGGTGGTATGCGACTCTCCACCGCGGATACTTCTTCCTCTAGTGTGGAGACAGGGACTGTCTGTCAGTCCCGGGACGGTTGCTGCCCTCCCAGGTAGTGAGGGCTTTGGGTGAGTGCTCAGGTAAACTCACAACCCAGTAATTTTGCAAGACCTCAAACAGGTGCTCCCTCCACGAACCCCTTAAAAGGGGAAGGTGTCACCTTGGTTGCGTGCTCATGCGTGTGCGCGAGCGCACACACGCACGCACACGCACACACACACATGCCCTGTCCCCACTGGAATGGCATGAGATTGGAAATCCCTCTACTTTCTCTGCTTTTAGAAGCAGTATCGAAGTACAGTGAGGACTTGATATGGGGCACTCTAAAGAAAATTCAGTTGCACATGATGCGCTCACAGCCATTGTGCTCACGGTGCTAAAAGTAGAGCTGGGTGGATGCTAGCTGACTGGGCACCAAGGTGAGTAGCTGGTTCCTGACTTCTGTCCTCCTGCTAATTCCCGAGGGCCCTTGGCTAGTCCGGGCCTTTGCCATAAAGCTTTGCTGAGACATGGAAATGGGCTTAAGCCCAAAGTCTGGGTGTCTCCCTCACTGGCCTCTCCTTCCTAGGCTGAACCACCCCAACGTGGTGGCTGCCCGGGACGTCCCCGAGGGGATGCAGAACCTGGCTCCCAATGACCTGCCTCTGCTGGCCATGGAGTACTGCCAAGGAGGAGACCTCCGCAAGGTGCGTCTCGTGGCGGGGCGGGATGCAGCCTGTCTGGGCAGGGAGCGGCGGGGAGGCCTTTCACCCCTTTCATCACCAGGAGGCTCAGGCAGCCACAGTGACTTTGGCTTGTGTTTCCTCCTCAGATCCCCCTCTTCCATGCTCCGGGTGGGGTCACATGCGTGTGATGTGAATCAAGAGCCTGAATCAGAAGCTCTTACGAGAAAGTCAGGGAAGGGCTTGCTGTGTGTCCTGCACAGTGATTACTAAAATGACAAGGAAAAAATCACCAGGTTTTGAGGACGGGGAAGGACTGGATAAGTTCCAAAACAAACTTTTCTTCCTGAGGCACGTCAGGGCCACTGCCGTCCTTCGGTGCCAGCGTCACCGCTGTCCTTATTAGGAGGAATTTTCTCCCAGAGATGTGGTGGCACTGCACACAGGGTCACAGAGTAGAGCAGGAAGGGGCTGGCTTAGTAATCAGGGGACTGGGCTGATACGCCAGGGCCACCCCTGACTCATCTTCTGGCTGTTCGTCCCTCTAGTACGTTCGCTTCTCTTTGCTAGGACGTACACTTCAGGGTGTGTGGCGGCAGCCCCCTGTCTGGGATGGTCATGTCTGCCCACCTCCCCGGCATTGTGCGAAACATGGCCTGCTTTCATATGTTGCCTTGTTTGATTGTCACCAGCCCTGTGATTTGGGTAAAACTATGATTCCTGTATGAAGGATGGATGTCATGGCCCAGAATGGTGAGGCTCGTGACCAGGCCTCACATGGTTACAGTGGCAGAGCATGGGCCCCAGCCAATGGGAGCCCCACTGCGGGCCACCTCTCCATCTGTGAAACTGAACGATGCCACATAGTGAGAGGAAAAATAAAAGCTCTGGATGACAGAGTTGTTTTTGTATTGAAAAAGAGATCGCTCTGTTAGTACGCATCTCCCCTAACTTTTCACTCTGGAAGAAGATACTGTAACCGGTGGGGGTGGGCAGGATACCCAGGCACTTCTGTTTTGACATGGCAGTTTCCTGGGCCCTCAGCATCATGTGCTGTTCTCAGTACTTTCCTGGCCCCTTCCGCCTTCTTTTTGTGAAGAAAACTTCCCATGAGTGTTGATCTGCACTCGTGGGTGGCTTTCTCCTGCAGTGGGAGGCGGGCAGATCCTGGGAGTGTTACTGCAGGATGTAAGCAGTCATTGGCATGACCTACAAGCAGGGGACTGATAACGGATGAGAAATGGGGAACTTGACAATGCTTCAATTTTCCTCTTTATTTTCCTAACCTTTGACAATCATCCGATTACTAAATGCAGTTATTTAAAAGAGAAGTCAGAGTCATGTTGTTGCAGTTGAGTGGATGGTTCAGAGCCCGCTTACGGAGGGCTCTGAAGCCCAGCAGAGAACTTGAGACTTGATCTCATAGGCAGCAAAGAGCCAGTCAGCCAGGGAAGAAGATGACGCAGACTTCAGCGTAAATGACCTGGCGTGGGGCACAAGATGATCTGTGGGAGGCAGGAAGCCCTTGTACTCTGCGTGGTCTTTGTCCAGGCCGCCTCCCGCCCCAACCATGGGGGTGGGCAGGGAGGGCGCTGCTGCCCAGAGCGCCTGGGATCTCTGCTCTCTCTGTTCTCCACATGAGGTAGTCTGTCTTTCCCTCCTCTCAAGAGTTCAAAACCTACTCCCCTGGGCACAGAGAGACAAGCTTGGCCAGCACATGAGCAAATGTGGAAGCCGGAACTGATGGAAAGACCAAAGTGTGTGTGCCCAGCTCAGGGAACGGGCTCTTGGATGTTCTTGGATATAAATAGTAGTTAATAACTTTAACCTTCAGGTAGGAAGTTCTCTTCTGCATTGTCTTCATTCAAGGCCAGCTGCCAGCAGCATATTGAGCCCAGAGGGCAGGAGGGCAGAGAGGACAAGTGTTGGGGCTCGGGCCTCCAATGGACATGGTTTTATATTCCAGTGCTGCCCTGGAATGGCTGTGTGAGGAGACAGATCCCTGAACTCCCCCAGTGTCAGGCTCCTCACCTGTGAGGTACTTACCTCTGTGGCCGTGGGAGGATAAAATGAGACCATGTAGAGTAAAGCTTTACTGAGCTCATCTGTGTAGAGGTTAGCCAGGTCCCGGGCATGTAGTAAGTGTTTGTTAAATCTTCCCTACCACCACCCACCGCCATCATCCCACCGGCAAGGCCATGTCGGGGGAAATGGTCAGAGGGTGGTTTTCAGCGGGTGCCTCCAACGCTGCCTTCTGCGGGACTCTCAGGAGGAGTGGTCCCACTGTGGCCGAGTGTAGCCTCTGGCTTGCCCCCCTCAGAACTGTAGCTCAGGTGAGACCAAAAATACCTCATCTTAGAATGACTCAGACACCTCACCGATGAGTACGGGAGTGCTTCTGGGAGTTCCACGACTGCTTCCTCCCTCTCCACCTCGGCCACTCCTACCAGCTCTGCTCCCCAGGCTGCCTTGACAGGCCTCAGGTCCTCAAAGCCCAGGGCTGGGGTTGGCACTCCCATGACTTCAGCTGGGAAGACACATTGTGGGCTTGGTGGTGGTAGGGGGCCACTTGCTCTGATGCTTCTTTTCAACTTCTTGACAGTACCTGAACCAGTTTGAGAACTGCTGTGGCCTGCGGGAAGGAGCCATCCTCACCTTGCTGAGTGACATTGGTAAATCCCAGCCCTGGAAATCAGGCTGTGGGCTCCGGGGAGGGTTTGTGGTGCCCCATGAGTTCTTGCGGAGCACAGAGGGGAGATATTTTGGTCCTCTGTTCTTCATAGAGGGTGGGGTTGAAGGGGCCCAGACAGAATGGGGAGGTCAATAAGGGGCTAGTCAGGCAGGCGCTGAACTCAAATAGATTTCCCTTCCTTCCGGGCTAAGTCATGAAGTGAATGATGATGTATATAGAATAACAGATTTCCTTTCCCATTAAAAAGTTCCACTCCCTACTTTCCTGGAAAGGCCAGCGGTAGAATAGGTTGTCATTCGAATGGATTTCATCCCTTGGCAACTAATTTTTCCACTTCCACATTGACAGCATAGGAAAAACTGCTCTTGATTAATCCTTTGGTATTGTTAGCGTCCTCAGATGAGAGTGTCTGCCACACTGTCTGAGAAGGTCGGGGAGAAGAGTGACCCCAGACTGCAGAGGTCAGATGCAGAGGACCGTGGTGCTGACTCTAGCACATGGCTTAAGCCTATTGACACAGACATCAGGGGCATGTAGGTGGCTCAGTTGGTTAAGCATCTAACTCTTATTTTCAGCTCAGGTCATGATCTCACGGTTTGTGAGTTCAAGCCCCACATCAGGCTCTGCACTGAGGCTTGGAGCCTGCTTGGGATTCTCTCTCCCTTTCTCTCTGCCCCTCCCCTGCTCTCTTTCTCTCTCTCTTTCTCTCAAAATAAACATAAAAAAAGGAGAGAGAGAGAAAGAAACAGACATCAGAAGTGACAGAGGGCCTGGCCTAAGCCTCCTTTTTTTTTTTTTTTTTTTAATTTCCAAGGTTGTCGGTACAAACTGATAATTTAAAATTTAGAGTTATCCAGTTTGTCACTGAATGGTGCCCCCAGATATGGGCATTGATACCATATTTCCACCCTCTCCATCTCAGCCTCTCTGAAGCTACAGAAGCTACATCTTTTTGTTTACACAAACTTTTTTTTTTTTTTTTTTTTCAGAAAAATATCAAGTACATAGAAAAGTTGAAAGAGTAGTACAGTGAAACCCACATACCTTTCAGCTGGATTAACCAGTTGTTACCATTTTGCCACATTTGTAAAGCTTTGTTTTCTAACTCTTGCCCTGGAAGGGTAGGGGGGCCTCTAGTCTCTGAAACCCTTTGCCTTGCTAGTGTGGGTCCACCTCTCCCTTGCCTTCTGCCGCTCTTCATAGAGCAAGAAGGAAGTGAAGGCGGGGAGCGTCCAGCAGTGACGTAAAGTTAGAATCCAAACAGTCTGACATAGAAAATTCCATCTCCCTCTGAATCCTGTGTCTTTGTCCTTTGGGTGGAGTTCACAGTGAGGACAAGTGACATTGTACCAGTTTTATCTGACTTGAGTGGGTGTCCACCACTAGCCAGACTGATTTCTTCATGAGTTGGCCTGTGTGAGTCTCCTGGAAGGGCCCTCTCTGTCTGTCTAGAGGGTCTAGTCCATAAGTGAAGAATCCCACCTATTTTCTTGACACCTTGCCGCATAGCTCATGCATCCACATTTTGCTTAGACAACACTTGGTTGTCTTGTTATCCCAGGGGCCAACTTATTAATTTATTTTCTGTTGAGTTGGGTTAAAGGCAGGTTAGTAGTTTGAGGAATATTCTTTTGCTCTTCATGGGAAACTTATTTTATTTCTCTCTGGTTAGAGCGTTAAGTCATTTTAAAAAATTAATTTATTTTCTTTTAGAGGGAGAGAGCACATGAGCAGGGGAGAGGGACAGAGTGAGAGAGAGAGAATCTCTCAAGCAGGCTCCATACTCGGCTCAGAGCCCAACACAGGGCTCGATCCCACAACCCTGGGATCATGACCTGAGCCGAAATAAAGAGACTACAGCTTAACCAACTGAGCCACCCGGGTGCCCTACGCTTGAAGTAATATTTTTTAAGTATTATCCTCTCAAGCATTTTTCTTTCACTGATGATATTATTTGTGCATTAAGCAAATAGCTATGAAGAAAGTCTTTAATTTCTTGGCTAGAGTACACTGAACTTTCCACTTCCTTCTAAAACTTTTACTTCCTCAAGTGATTCTCTAGTGATATTAATAGAGTGTCTACCGGTTGCATATTCTTTGGTCTGGGCACATTTTGTATCCTGTTACCATTGACTTGTGTGATAGCTTTCATATTATCTATTGAAGTTGTGGGTCTATGTTTAAGTTATACATAAGTCAGAATAATGAAGACTGGTAAGCTCCCGAGTATGCATGCAGTTCAGCTCTCCTAGAAGTGGATGTTTACTAAAATTCCTTAGGTCACTGGTTCCCTATCTTTCCTCTCTGTGACTCAAAATTGGAAATAATGAGGCTTTGAAGTACTTATATTCTAGAACGAAATTCTTGAAAGCAGAGGCTTTAGTCATTGCTGTGTCTCCAACATCTAGAATAGTGGTATCTTATATAACAGTTTCTCTGTAAATATTTGTCAAGTGAATGAAATCAATCTGAAAGGAAATTAAAATCACTAAGGACCTGTTTAAAAAACAAAATCAAAAACGATGTCCACATATAATTAGTCCCAGGTCAAATACATGCCCTTACACTTATTGGCATTATGACCTTAGTCATGTTACCTGTTTTATTAGCTGCAAAATGAGGCTGTCACTCCCCTCATTAGTATGGTAATGAGGACAAAATGAGCTGATATACAAGAAGCTGCCAGCACAGTGTTTTCTGCTCCTCGTGTAATGTACAGTCAGCAAATGTTCATTTCCTTCACATTTCCTTCCCCCTCTGGATTTGGATTGATAGCATCCCTTTTAAAAAACCTCAGTCAGCCTGATTTGGGATCTGGTGAGCCAGGCAGGTGGTTGCCTTGTGAGACTTCCCTTCCTGGACATGGTTCCTCTGCAGACCTGTCCCTGTGTCCGTCACCTCTTGGAGGCAGTCCCATCCCCTGATGTTGTGGTTGTGTTGTGGTTGTGGTTGTTGATAAGGTTGTATTTTCCTTTCCTGTCTATTTCTGATTTGTGTACAAGACTCATCAAATTTGTTTCTTTTACAAGGATCTCGTCACTGAGCCAGAGTTCAAAGACGTCTCTCAGAGCTCATATAACATAACTCTTTTGTATTCTGAAACATTTCCTGAGCATATTTTGTTCCAGTTTGTTCCGAGCACTGGCCCCATGTTCCCTTTGTTGGAGTCGCCACTGCTGTTCTCTGCCAGGTTGACTTCAGATAAGCGGTAGAGCCACACCCTTGACCCCTGGGTCCAGAATTCATTGCCTTCTTTTCTGGATTAAACCTGTTTTATTTATTTATTATTTATTTATTTTTTATTTGTTTCTAGGAGAGAGAGAGAGAGAGAGACAGCGTGAGCAGGGGAGGGTCAGAGAGAGAGAGGGAGTCACAGACTGAAACAGGCTCCAGGCTCTGAGCTGGCAGTCAGCACAGAGCCCGACGCGGGGCTCGAACCCACGAACCGCAAGATCATGACCTAAGCGAAAGTCGGACGCTTAACTGACTAAGCCACCCAGGTGCCCCAGGCTTAAACCTGTTTTAACCAAACCTCTTCTGAGCCACCGACCTTACAGAGATGCCCACTCAGAGTTATATCATGGTAATAGACATAGAAAGGATTTTTCCAGTGAACTTTAAATTGGCCAAGAAGATACTGCAGAAGACATAGGAGAAAATGAGTTGTTGCCTGGTGAGCACAAATGCCAGGACAGACCTATTAGACAATTTCTCCTTTGCTGGTAAGTGATCTGGGGACAGGTGCAGCGGCAGCCGGAAATGATCTGGATTTCCATAGAATGTAACCCTAAAATAGCTCCAGGAAGTTATATCCAAGGGGATTCTATTTAAACACTCTTGCTCATTATCCTTTGGAAAACACTGGAGTGTATTTCTTTCTGCCAGCAGAGGAGCAAACTCCTGAACACTCAAGGTTGAGGGACAGACTGACACTTTCTGGACGTCCACGTCTCCACTGTCAGGCGGGGACCCGCCTGTGCCCTGGCCAGTTGGGCGGGCCAGTTGTGTGATCGCCATGGCCTCATCAAATCTTAAGTCTGAGTCGATCTTCCTTGATTTTCCAGATGGCCAGTTTCCTGTGGGGTCTGATCATCTTGTCAGGAACCCCACTCCCCATTTTCATTTGTGCTCCATTCTCTGAGTCACCATCTCTGTCCCTGATGGAGCTGCCCCTAACAGGCATAAGTTCCTTGGCACTAAAAAGCAGAGAGGGTTTCGAAGAGAATACAGGGCTTTAGGGAAGAGAACTTATCCTAGGAATCAGAAAATTTATTTAGTGAGTCTCTAATTGTGTGAATTTATAACACAAGGGGCCCACCTGATATCAGAAAATTCAGATCATTTGTATATAAAGTATGTTGGAAAGCATAACTGCACATAATAATAATACAAGAGAAGACTATTGGCTCTCGGTCCTGGCTTCTCCACTTTCCCAGCTCACTTTCAGGCAAGGACCTTATGGTCCATTTATCTTTTTACTTCTTTTCTGTGGAAAACTATGGTAACTTTCTGGGCTTATATATCCTCAACTTTAAAATGAAGGGTTTGGGCCAGGTGATCTCTAAGTTCCTTTCTAACTAAATATTCTGTTCTCATTATTCAGAGGGCTGGTTTTCAGAATGGGCACCCCAGCATGTCTTTGACATTCCGTCCCAGCCTGACTGTGTGGCCCGGTTTCTCTCGCCTCTCCCCTAATGCATCTCCTTTCCCCACAGCTTTGTCTTGGTGCTTTCTGTTCATTCCTGCTCCATCCCTTCTGTCCCTCTCTGCACCTGGACTGACTGCCTACTGCTTTCCAATATGCTGTTTGCCAGACTGTCCTCATGACATCTTTATCCACCATATTCTCTCCGAAGTCTGTGTATCCAACCTGAGCCTTATTCTCAGCTCCACACCCATGTTTATATACTCTTCTGCAAATCATTACCAAGTGGAAATCCCAGACTTCTTCCCTAAGCCAGATCCCTTCCTGACATCCCT